AGCTCACTCTCCAACTGGGAACCGAGGAAAAATCCAACTGGCATGAGGAGGTCATGGCCATGAGGCCTTTGGGCAAGGTATGAAACTGGGAGCTTTTTCAATGGTTCCTGACTGTCAAAGTTAGAGCTGAGATCCAGGGAGAAAGCAAAATTTATTTCACATGAAATCCATCCAAGATATTTATAGAAAAAAAAAAAAACATTGTGAAGGACAAAACTCTTCCTTTCAGACTTGGGATCCAAATGTTCAGAATGCTTCAAAAATAATAAAACAAAGGAGAAGCTACTTTTCCCTGAGCTCATATTAAATAGATGGGTCACAGTTTGCAGCATGACTCCACACATATTTTTTTAATTTCCTTATTATGAGCTACACAGTTAACAACACAAAATTATATGAGGTCAAGAAAATAAATGAAGCAATGTGAAATTCTCCAACAAAAACTGAAACAATAGACAAAGAAACTGATATATGGATATAATGGTGGGAAGAGAGATGTAAAGGCTTTCTGTGTTCCTCCTCATTTTGAAATGTACAGTGCATCAAGAAATGTGGATATTCCTACAATCATCTACAGAGATACCATTTAACCTAATTCATAAAACTGACATTAAATGAGCATTGAACAAGATCTAATCTAAATATACATTAGCTCCTTCACATTAAGTGTTCAGAATCAAGTAAATAAAGAAAATCAATTAATATGCCTAACTTCTAGAACTATGTGTCTTCTTGACATGACTTTATGGTAACATTTTGGATACAATCTAAGTATACTAATTGGAAAAAGAGGGCAAAATATATGTTATGAGCTTTTGTGTGTCTGTACACTAGGAGATTCATATATGCTGTCTCATTAATCCTCGGGTTATCTCTCTCTGGAAAGTCATATTATCACTTTTCAATTTGCAAAAACAAAAACAAAAAACTGAGACTCTGAATTAAATAACTGGGCCAAGTTCAACAAGAAAGTAGGAAAGCTGAGATTAGAACTCAGTTCTGTCTGGTTCCAAAAGTCTTTGCCCTCCCTGAGTAATAAAAACTGTGACCTCTCAAAATTTGAATGTAATAGAAATATAGAAATCAAATAATAGGTATTAAATAGTAAAAAGGACTCATCTTTACAATGAGTGAATAAAATAGATTCCTATGATGTGCTTGCTTCACATTAGAAAATGAAATAATCCCTTGAATAAAAACTAGTTTATAAATAGAAATATAATTTATCCATTGATAGCCTTTGAGAACCTAAGCATAATCATTTTAAAAAGAAACCCCATTTGAATCAAATGTATGATATGTCAAGATCATTGTAATGTTTTGAGCAACTAATTAAAAAAAAAGAAAGAAACACTCAGGATCTGGGTGCAATGGTGCACACCTGTAATCCCAGCAATTTGAGAATCTAAGTCAGGAGGATCACAAGTTCAAGATCAGCCTCAGCAACTTAGTGAGACCCTAAGCAATTTAGCAAGGCCCTTAGCAACCTAGCAAGACCCTTAAAAATAAATGAAGTATTGTTAAATAAAATAGCTCAGTGGTAAGGTACCCCTGGGTTCAGTCCCCAGCACCAAAAAAAGGGAAAAATAAAAGAGAGAGAGAGAGACTGATTTTCCAGTATAAAGTTTGATTTATACTGGCCAAACAATATGTGCAATACTTCATCAAAGAATATTCATTGGATATTCTAAAAATGGAATTTTACATATTATTAAAAGTAATAATTTTATTTTATTATGTTGTCATTATAAGGTGAAGAAATAAAATCTCAATATAAATTGTACATTAATTAGAATGTATATTGCACATAACAAATTCCCAGTTGAACTGGTTAAAACAATAAATGAAATGTGTTAGCTCACATGATGAAAAAGATCTGAAATAAAAACTGGCTTCAAGCAGGGTCAATCCAGGGGCTCAAAACATCACCCAGAAATCAGTTCCTAAGCATCTCTCTGCTCTGCTCCCTGCTTGCTCCTATCAGGCTCCCCTCGAAGGCTCTCCTACATGTCTCTGCAGCAGCAACGACTCCATAGATAGAGCCTTCATAGCCTCACCTCACACTCTTGTGGGGAAAACTAATGATCTCTTCTTAGAATTTCCACAGAGGAGAGACAGAACTATTTTTCTCTTTTAAAAAGCTCCTAAATTATCCCACATTTCATTAGCTCTGGTTGAACTCCCAGATCCACCACTATCAGGGAGATAAAATGTGGTAATTCACGAGACTCCAGGGGAGCTACCCTGTTACCGAGACACAGGGACACAGATTGGGAAGAGCTCATTGCTGGAAGGAGGACTCAGGATTTGATGAAGATGGGAAAGGGGCCTTGCTTGGCGTCCTCCCAATCGAAATGTCCAGTACCAATTCAAAGACTTCTGTGCAAGAGAATGACATGAACATAGTTAACCTCACAGGGTGAAGTAATGTAACAATGAAAAATACAGTAATTTTATTAGGTAATAGGTATTCATTGATTGCCAAGTCAGAAGCTGAGCACTTTACCTGTTCTCAATAAATCCTGATGGTACATATGAGGCGGGTGTTATTATTATACCCATACTCTGCAGATAAGAAAACTGAGACTCAGAATATTTAACTGTTTTCCAATATAATAGAGGATAAAAGTCTGTCTCCTCTGGAAACTACAGAGGACTGGAGTTTCAAAGGAAACTTCTAGCTGAACACCAAGGCTATGAACGTCATTCAATATATAGTTTGCACTCATCACATGTGAACATCAGGTTGCCTGATGCAGTGACTGTGCTGGGTGCTGAGTTGCAGAAAAACTAATTTGTGACCTCAACATGCACAGGGCACCCACTCCCGACTTCTGCCTCAACCCTACCCAAGCCCTCCTGCGTCCAGGCATTTATACACGCTTTCTTCTGACTTCCTCTCCACCCATAAGTCTCCTCTCTTCATGCATCTCCTCATCCTTAACATCCACAACTCCTCACTGCCATCACCTTACACTTAAACCCCGGGCATCTCCATCAATTTGGAGACTGTGTCACCACAATTAAAGGTTGTTAATCCTAGCTGAGCTCTCAGTGCTACCTAGAGTCATACCGAGTCTTTTGCTGTTTCTTTCTTCCTGCAATTGCCCTTTCAAATCCTCACCACTCTCCTCAGATCTTTGGCTCCTCTGTCTCTATTACTGACAGCAATCTGCTTCATCCACTTCTTCACGAGAAAAATAGAAATCATCCGACAGCCATTTACTCAAGTATATTCCTAACCCAGCCCTGGCTCCAACCTGTGTGACTGGTCACAGAATGTCACATTGACTATAAGTCTTCCTTCTCAATCCACCTGTAAAGACAAATTGGGAAAACCTGGTTCATGCCCTTAAGAAATTAGAATTGAAATAAAGGAAATACAAACTTGCTTTTGCATGCCTTCCTCTAAATGGAAGAGGAGATCTTGGGACTTTGGAGAAACACTTTGGCCACTGTGGACTGTAGTACGGTACATATAACAGATTAAGCCAATATGCTTAAATAGAGAAGAAACCTGTGAAAATTTAGAGGGGTTAAAAAAAAAAGATGAGAGTTAAAAGGAAGTTTCTGCAGGAGTTTTCTAGGACTTTCCATTTCTTGATTGCAAGCACTTTCTAAATTTCAGATAATGCCTTCATTTCCTTGGAGACATCCCTGTGATCTTATTAGATTTGCTCTGCTGGTTTGGTTTGTTTCTGTCATTTCTGCTAAAAATTGTAAATATAGAATATTTAGCTTATACTTGTTTCTGAAATTGTTTCTCTTCTTCCCGTCTCCAATGCCAGATTCTGGTTCAAACCATCATCATCGCTTATCTGAACAACTGTGCTGGCCTTCTAACTGGTTTTTTATACTTCCTGTGCTCTGTCAACATTTCATTCTACTCTACAAAAGTTTTCAATGGTTTCCTTTTGTTAAGAAGCAAAGGGTTTAACAAAGATCAAATTCACCCAGTTATCTAGCTAAATATGACAGGCTCCTTTTACAGTAGGCTTCCCACTAGTCCTGGCCCTTTTACCACTCCAGAACTCACTCAGTCTGTTCTGCTTGAGATCTTCATTCATTCTTCCCCCTCTGCCTGACATACTTTTCACTGACTAAATCTATTCGCCCTTCAAAATTTTCATCAAATGACATTTACAATCACAATAGTGTTCATTCAATTATTTTTTAAGATCTGGCTGTGTTAAGGTCTGTAAACAAGTCAAAATAACACCTGGTATTTTGCCAGGGGAATGTTAGAGTTCGTAAACAAGTCAGGATGATGCCTGGCAAAATGCCAGAGGAAGTGGTTTGAAAAGTAACAAAAACGAGCTATTAAGTGTGGAGATTCCTTATTGGTTGACTGATGTATCTAGTTTATGCTAATTAAGATAAGCTGTGCAAAATGTATAAATAGCTCTGTTGTCCTACAATAAACGGCTCCCTTTCCTGCTGTATCAATCTACAGAAGTCACTCGTCACCCCCCAACTATTCTGCTGCAGCCAGACCCCGGCATGGCTGCCCTAATGATAATGCCCTGTCTTCATCATCATTGTCTTCACAGTATCTGGTACATGGCAGGAAATCAATGTGTATTTGTTGTATCAAGGTAAGAGTGAAGTACAGATCCAAGATATGCTGCCTACATAATATTACTAACAGGAGACAATATCAGAGGAATAATGAAATGAATGAAATACTAGAAGATAACTTTCCAGATATGAATGAAAACCAAACACACAGAAAATGTGTTACAAAATACAAGGCACAGAGACAATAGCTTCATACTGTACCCAGACAATATTTAAGAAGCATTCTACCTTTCAAAGAAAATAAATGAGTGTCTCAGTGGTATCTTCAATAATTCAAAACACAAAAGATGAATTAGCATCATCAATATTTAAGAGACAACAATTTACAAATGACTATCTAATGGACCAAATGAGCTAATGATTATGAGTATAAACTTTAATTTAAAAAAAACTGCCTGGGTTTGAATTTTGATTTCACTTACCTGTTGTTTCCACCTTTGGCAAGTCACTTAAACAGCTTGTGCTTCAATAATGTCATCTTCAAAATGGGGATAATGATGCAAGGCATTTCACAGAAGCGCTAAATGAATCAAAATGTGGTTAGTACTTAGAACATTTCTAGATAAATATGTTGCTATCTAAAATGATAATTCTTTAACCCAAGAATTGTGTGTCCAGTTCAGTTGTACTTGGACTGCAAAAACTGCAAGGGATTTCTTCACATTCAAAGGCTCCTAAGGAAATACACAATTCACCTGAGTCTCCTGAAATAATCATTTGGGACTTTCAATATTTTAAATGTTATAATACTGAAATTTTACTTTACTTATATAAATACACAAAATAAAATTATATTTATAATATAATGCACATATATAGACATGTGTAATAAATTTTTCAAAAACAAAATTTAGCACAAGAACATCTGCCATTTTCTCAATAACTAATATTATTTTGAAGGTTTAGAACAATGCAATATAACAAGGGAAAAAAAAAGGAAAATTCCCAAGAAATATCAGGAACAAATTATTAGTATTTGCAACATGCTATTGTCTGCCTACAATTTCAAAATAATTGATTTATAAGAGAAACTAGAACCAATGATAAATTTTAATAGAATAATCACATATCAAATATGTTATAAACAATGTTTTAGAAAATATTTTCACAATAGTAACCACAAAAAAAATTTACTTAGAAAAAAAATTTCTCAAGAAAAAGTAGTATCTACATAGGGAAAAGTTCACTTTACAAAGGGACTATAAAAATGAAAGTTAAGTAATATTGTGTTCTTGGTGGAGAGGAGAAGAACAACCACAACAATAAAAATAGTTTTGGATATTGTTTTGTTTTTGTTTTTTATTGCTTCCCATATGCCAGAATCTCCTAAAAACTTATAAATATTACATCATTTATTCCTCAAAAAAATCCCTTGAGGCAGTTCAATAATTATTTCCATTTTGCAGATGAGTAAAGACTTAATTTTTTCAAGTGGTGCACCAAAACATTGACCAAGACAGATCATTTTCTTACCCATGCAACAAATCTCATCAAATTTGAAATAATTAAATCATGCAAAATCCTCTGACCATACAGAGAATTAAACTAGAAATAAATAATACAGAACTACCTAGGAAATCCCCAAATATTTCAAAATTAAACAGCACTCTTCTAAATAGCCCATGGGTCAAAGCAGGACTCACAAGACAAATTATATATTTTAAATTGAGTGAATCTATCACATGTATGGGATTCAGCAGAACCAGCAAGTAGAGGAAAATACAAAGCATTAAATAATATATTAGAAAACAAAAAGGTTCTTAAATAACTAATTTAAACCTTACCTTAAAAATTTAGACGTTGAGCCAGGCATGGTGGCACACACCTGTGATCCCAGCTGCTTGGGAGGCTGAGGCAGGAGGATCGGGAGTTCGAAGCCAGAATCAACAACTTAAAGATGTCCTAAGCAACTCAGTGAGATCCTATTTCTAAATAAAATATAAAGAAGGGCTGAGGATGTGGCTCAGTGGTTAAGCGCCCCTGAGTTTAATCCCCAGTATCAAAAAAAAAAAAAGAAAGAAAAATACCTAGAAATCGAGAGACAAAATAGGCCCCAAAATAGCAGATGTAAAGATAATAAATATTTTAAAAGTCACTATTAAAATTGAAAATAGAAAAAAATCAATGAGTCCAAAAGTTAGGTCTTTGAAAACATCAGTAATAATTATAGCAAGCAAGAATGTTCAATAAATACAAGAAAAAAACAATATCAATGTCAAAAGTGAAAGGGGAGGCACTACTACAGATCCTAGAGACATTTAAAGAAGAGTAAGGGAATATTAAGAACAATTTCTGTACATGAATTCAACAACTTAGATGGAATGGACAAATTCACTGAAAGACTTTGAACCAATGCTCTCTGAAGAAGAAACAAATAATGTGACTATTCCTATACTTAACTTTTAAAAATATATTTGTAATTTAAAATCTTTCCTTGAGAATACAACAGACACTAGTATGGCATTATGTATAAACGTGGAAATATAACCAATGTGATCCTGCAATTTGTGCACGTGGTAAAAATAAGAATTCATACCCCATTTGAATCAAATGTGTGATATATGATATGTCAAGGTCATTGTAATTTTTTGAGCAACCAATAAAAAAAAGAAATATATAAAAATATACTAATGAAAAAAGAAAATGAATCAACCTCATTACAACTGTGTCCCTGTGGTCCTTAAACTGAGAGGTCATGGTCTTTAGTCTCCTGAGACCAACCTCTGGGATCCATGTCTGCATCTGTATACAGGCTCGTGGTCAGTGCCCAGCGCATAGAATGAATTCATACCAATACACAATGCAAGCCCAGTATAGATCTTGGGTGTCGATACTTGGTGAAAGGACAACCAAAACCTGACAGAATCCAACCAAATGATAGCTGTAGGCGGCAATGTGTATTCTGGAAAAGACAAGTTTACAAAAGAAACAGCAGAGAAAATAGACTTTAAAGTACTTCCCCAAAGCAGGGACTCATTACACAGACAATATTACAGGAGATGGAAAACCCAACACAGAGTTTAGTGACTAGTGCAGTTTGGAGAAATTTCATGGTGATCTGAAATTAATGAGGGCAACAGCCTAGAGCCCTGGTTGTACACCAACTGCTTCCTGCAGTATGCCAACACCTGGGAATACCTGCTGAGCACTGGACAAGGTGTTGTCTTGGAGGTGTCCCTCTACAGGGACTTATTTTCTTGTGAAACCAGGGCTTCATCTGAAAGCAGGGTGTGGATCACTATAAGAAACCATCTAGCAGTACCTGCCTCCTGTGTGGTGAGCTATATCACATGCTGTCACTAGAGATCCAGGGTTGGATTCAGAAGAAAGAAATCCACATGACATGGAGATCACCTCTGCCTGTCTTCAGAACATCAAGAAAACCCTTAGACCTGAGATGAGGGGGAAAATGTGAAGTTTTGTACTAGGACTCAAGAGAGGTTCAAGATACAGAAAGGGTGGTAGAGCATACGTATTGAACACCGCAAGTGTGGTTTGACAAAGGGCCTTGGCTCATTCAGGTGATCACCCTTGTTCACCTTCTACTAATGCTGGTTTAGAATAAGCTGGACTTACTGAATTTCACAACTATTCCTATCTGTATCAAAAATCAAAATTGGAGCTCACCAGAGTGAATGGGTCTTCCATAAATTCAGAGAGCTACTGATTTGCAAGTACTATTCAAAAAAAAAAAAAAAAGTATGTGTAGACTGTGAATGACCAGCTCCCTCTAGAAGCACATTGTCCCATCAGGTGCTCTATATGATACAGCTTTCCTAGCTTATGTCCTCATACTTCAAGAAACAGCTGCTTCCACGGAAAAAGATAAATACATACATAAATCTTTCCTCAAAGAAAAGTCTTCACCCCATGTCCAATTATGGTACTTGCTCCCTTAACTGAGATTCGAAACTTGCCCACAGTGTCCAGTTCTTTTCTTGCCCCAAACTCCTCTTCCTCTGAGTCAAATCCCTGGATATCTGAGTAAGAAAATCAAATATGGAAGAAGGATTTTAGGATTACAATTAGTAAAATCATTGCCAAGCTTTGGGTGAAAATATGTGGCTGTGTTCATGGGAATGGATGTTGAAAGTATTCAAGGAGGAAGGAAAAAGTCATTTTTTTTTAATTTTGGCTGAACCTATAGTTATGAATGAATTTACCAGAGACTGAATTCAGTGTTCTAGTTTAGGCAGCTATGGGTGAGTAATGACTACGTGGACTCAGGGTCAACAAAAAGTTGAAATTGCTTGGTAGAATAAAAAGAAAGAAATTCTAATACTGAGAAAACAGAAATGCAGGAATGAACATATTATATGATACAACTCATCATCTCTACCAAAGACACTCTTCTCTCAATAAAAAAATTAAGACATTAATTTGGGGGGCTCACAGCAAGTATTTTTTATTTTTAAACGAAAAAGACTAAGACAGCAAATATCTGAACTCAAGGCACATAGTAAAAACACTTTGTTTGCTGACAGCTTTGTTCTAATTATATATTCATGCGTGTGTGATATGTATTATTTATAGAAATGTGGAGGCTGGAAAGTGTGCATGTGAATATAATTTATATATATTGATTTGTGTTATAAGCTGTGTATCTCAAAAATATTTGAGATCGGGCTGGGGATGTGGCTCAAGCGGTAGCGTGCTCGCCTGGTATGAGTGCGACCCGGGTTCGATCCTCAGCACCACATACCAATAAAGATGTTGTGTCCGCCGAGAACTGAAAAATGAATATTAAAAATTCTCTCTTTCTCTCTCTCTCTCTCTCCTCTCTCACTCTCTCTTTAAAAAAAAAAAATATTTGAGATCTTGTCACTTCTCTCGTTGGTTTACCTGTGACTTAGCACACACAAGTCAGCACCAACAAGAAGACATTCTTCTGAAAACCAGCTCCACTCTGGAGATTTTCAATAGAAGAGGGTAAATGTTTGATTAGTCTATCTTGTGCACGTAACCTAGAGAGAAGGATGGCCTGAAGGAAGGACCTCTACTAATTCATGATTAATAACACAAGGAGGCCAAAATGGCCAGGAGTGGAGTTATGGTTTGGATGTGAGGTGTCCTCCAAAAGCTCATGTGTGAGACAATGCAAAAAGGTTCAGGGGAGAAATGATTGGGTTGTGAGAGTCTTAACTCAATCAGTGATTTAATTCCCTGATAGGGATTAACTGAGTGGTAATTGAAGTGGTAGGGTGTGGCTGGAGGAGGTGGGAATTAGGGCGTGGCTTTGGGGTATATATTTATATCTGGTGTGGAGTCTCTCTCTTGCTGCATCCTGGTTACCCTGATGTGAGCTGCTTCCCTCTGCCACCACGATGTTCAGCCTCACCTCCAGCCCTGAGAAATGGAGCTGGCCTTTATGGACTAAGACCTCTAAAACTATAAGCCCTCAAATAAACTCTTCCTCCTCTGTAGTTGTTCTGGTCAGAGCAGCAAAAAAGCTGGCTAAAACAAGTGGAGACCGACAGTGGGTCCCCTGTCCGGTAAATGCTGGGCAATTTCCCCAAAAAATCCACCAAGGGAAGAAGGGGAGACTCCATGGAGAGGGGAGAGTGTGACTGCCCCCTCCTTGAGTGATCACAAAATGTGGGGTAGACAGAAGCATAAGACAATAATATCCAGATCTGAAGCCCATAAGAAAAGAACCAGGTAAATTTAACAACTGAAAGTTCAGATTCCTCAGGCTGGAGTCGGGTTGAATCACTCTGACAAATCATTCTAACCATGCAAGGTATTGACTTTCAGAAAGCTGACCAAAAGTTACCCCATTATTATATATTGCTAGGAAAAAAAGTAAATTGATACACAGTTTTAGAAAGCAAATTAGTAATTTTTATCCAAGACCATAAATTAGGAGCCAAGGATAGAGCTCTTGCCTAATACGTGCAAATCCCTGAGTTTAATTCTCAGCACCCAAAAAATAATAAATGTATAAATTACTCAAATCTTTGCCTAGATGGTTCTATTAATCTCAAAGAAAACTACTCAAAGAAAGCAATAAGAAAGAAAAATACAGCCCTGACTACTGATATCTATGGCCATCAGCTAAGTTGAGTTTCTCTGCTGTGAATTTACAGAACATCAACATCAGATAAAAACTCTCCATGATAAGAACACTCTATAATCAAGCCTGACAGAGATAAAAAATAAAATAAAGACACCCTGCAACCACAAAAATGACAAAATGTCCTCCATCTCAGCTTAACAAAAGAGAATATTGCCTTTTTTACAAATAAAAATTCTATCTGCAATTTGTTCATCCTGCCACGGCAATAAAGATAACTAAGATAAACAATCCTGGAATTGTTTTGCTTTCTTTCAGTGCTCAATCCAGAACAGAACCCAATTTCCAGGAAATATCTTCAGAATCATCTAATCCAGGCCCAAATCTTACAGCAAGTCCCTCCTGACTTCCTTTTTTCTGAAATATCCCTTAATTCCCTATAGGATGTATCACGTGAAAGTGCTTGTCGAGATGCAGCAAAGAGAAATTGATTTATCCCAATGGGGATAAATAAATTAATTAATAGAAATTAATTTATCCTAATGCCTCAGAGCATTAGGTCTTAATTTTCTCATGGAACCTTGCTGAGAAGAGCTGTATTGTTTTTTTAAGCTTAGCAATAATCCTAGAAAGGGAGAATTGTTATCATTCCCATCTTACATGCAGAGAGACAGACTGAGGCACAGTGGTAAGGTAAGTAGGCTACAGTCTAAGGACTTGAACCCAAGCAGTCTGGCAGAGGTGTGCATCATCAATGCTATGCAGTTTCCAACAAAATGCTGCCATGATCAATTTAGTTATCTGGAGTCAAAAACTGGTTTTATTTATATAAATGCCACCATGACTTTTTGTGTTCAACCAGAGCACCAAGGAGAGCAAATCCTCTTTCCAGTCTCACTGGCACTGTGCTCATTC